GTTTTAACTGACTTGATACTGAGACAAAACGGTACCGACTTTAGGATTAGTAAATGTCCACAAACAATTCACCCAGCCTGCAAAAGAAGGGTGGATGTTTTGTCTGGCTTTGTTGTTTTTACAGGAACAGAAGGGTGACAGAGACTAAAGGGGGAGGCTGTAGCTTCACATGAGTGTGAACTGCAGACTTAACCCTTTGGTTGCTAATTTGAGTTTCTGATGTTTGCATTAAGAAAAGTGTGTTTTAGTAGCTGTGTTTCGATTAATGTATCATTATAAAATGGTTGGGAATGTTAAATGCTAAAGTGAAAAAAGGTTTGATTCCACTCATGACTGAACATGTTATTATTAACCATAGCGGGCCACTGTAAAGAGTCAATCAACTTTTATAGAGGTAAAAAAAAAAAAAGCCAAAAAACCCTCTATTGAGGTCTATGAATAACAGGGGAATGATAGGCTTGTCACATTCAAAATGGAGATATGTAATGATAAACACTGGTCCCCGTCTTTTAGGTCCTTTCATTGAAATAGTCAATAATTTAGAAAAAGTAGAGACATAGCCGACAGGGGCATGTGCTGAGAGGTGGTGCTGCATAAAAATAGGAGCCAAATAAAGAAAAATTATTGTTCTTAGCTTTGAGAAATTTAAATTAAAATGTACCATTGCACTCAGAGGATCAATATGAAATTCAATATATGCTAATTTTGTATGAAGTACATTTTCAGTTACAGTTACAGTTTCTCGCCACCAACAGGGGGTACTTGCAAAGAATAGAGAATGGGGAGGAATATCATCAAAACTGGGAAAGGTAAGCCCCGAAGGGGGTGATAACACCATAACTTTCACTTATGGTCAAATTCTCAAAATTTGACCCCAAACTTGAAAATTCTTCAAACATTTAGAGACAGAGTGGATAAACATAATGTCGCAAACCACATAAGGATGGAGCATTGGAATCGATAAGATGGTGAAATAACACGCCGTAAAATGATCAGGTTGATCATCTTGATTATGTTTATTCCAGTGTGCAGAGCAAGGTTATTATTATTAACGAAAACAAATGAAATAACAAAAACTAGAAGTGGAAAAACATTTTTGTTAACGGAAATATAATAAAAACAAAAAAGGAAATCTAACTAAAACTGTAATGAGTGTTCACAAAACTAACTAAAATTAACTGAATTTATAGCAAAATGTGTTTAGTTTCATTGATGTGTGCGTGTCCTACAATAGTCAAGGGTGAAAATGAAGTTTAGCTTCCAGATTTTTTCTTGCTGTGTCTCATTATGCCAGCAGGTGGCAGTACGTTAGTCGAGTCGTCTGTGTTGCTGCTCCGTCCACGCGCAGAATCATGTCAGGAAAAGTCGGGAGAAAGCGCCAGAGTCCAATTTGGGATTACTTTGAATATGACTGTGCTTTGGTTAAAGCAAGTGTCTTGTAGTGGAAAGAGACAAAATATGAGGGACATTTATGAAATGAAAAGATCCCACAAACCTTAAAGTGCACTTGAAAAGCTCACACAAGAAGGCTAACCTACCTTACCTTGAAAAGGTAAGGGAGCACACTCAACCCTCATCCCCTGAAAACAGAAGCTAACCCCAGGCAAGGCAGCGTGATGCATCCCGAGACAACAGGATGGGGACATCTACATAACTGTGTGAGTCAATCGCCTTCACAAAGTTTATCAATTCACTTGAACCAAAATTAGGAACACCCGGTGCTGCAAGAGTTAATAGTCTCAATACCCAAGGATAAGCACAAGAGCATGACTGATATTATGGGACTGGGATTTTGTTACACTTAATTATTGCAGACACAACTAAAACTATAACTGACACTAATCAAAACTAAACTGAAACTAAGGATTTTCAGAAAATAAAAACTAGACTAAACTAGCAAAGAATTGGTAAAAACTAATTACAACTGATATAAAATTGAAAATCTGAAGTCGAAGCTAAATAAAAATAAAAACGAATGAAAATTGCAAAACTATTACAACCCTGGTCCAGACTAAGATGGCGTTGGACATCTTCAGGGCAGAAAAGGGTTGGTGTGACCAAGGTGCGGTTTGGCTTGTTGTATGTATATTTCAAGATGATGTGGCTCTGTATGAACCAGTTACAAGGGCATGGAAGGGGGTGTTTTACTGTCATTTTAGCATCAGCATTATTGTTACATCAGAATCATATAACAAGCATTGCATTGATCATTTATTGAAGCTTTTGACATTATACTAACATTTGTGTTCCAGTGATTATTATAACCTCAGGTTAATCTTCTATTTACAGGTGTCAGGATAATCATATGATCTTTCATTGCAGGTGTAACCATGATCATTTTTATACATATTGCAGTTTGTTGCTCATTATAGAGTTGTGCTCAAGTTAATAAGGGTTAAAAGCTACAGTCAACGCGATGTTTGGCTGATCTATGGACTGGAGTGACTTTGGGCATGGAAGGCCGCACGCGCTTACATAACACTGATATCATGCTTTTCTTTGTGATCTTTTATTCAGTTATATCCTTTGCTAAGTTTTAAGTAGTGGCAGTTGATTAAACATTCATTTAATATTACATACCTGATTCCGAGCATTACACACAGATCAACTTAACAATCTGCGAAACCTTGTAGCTGCAATGTTGTGTCTCCATAAGGGACAGTTAGCTCCAGGAGATAATTGGCAGTCAGTGCCTGTCCTCCAGAAGGAGAGCATGTTCCTTTGCTGTGTCAAAAGTAGTCAACAAGTTCATATTGAAGTGAAGTTCATATTATTACAGGTTTTGTTTCTTGGCAATTCTGGGCGGAGCCACGAGTTGAACAGATCTAACATGACAATTAAATTGATTTCATTCCCTAACACAGGCTGACAGGACTGGAGCAACGACACTGGATAGGAGAAAGTCTCATACTTTCTGAGATATGAGGTCACTAACCTTTTCTTTAAATTTTCTAGCTCCGTTGATTTGACACATGGGAATGTGTCAAAAAAAGGGGGGGAAGTTGAGTTTTAACATCAAACAAGGGTTATATGAACATTTTTATGACTTCATTTGTGTTTTTAATAACTTAGGTGTGGTAAAACTTAAGCTAATAGTGACCCAGAAGGTGTCCGGACTTTTTTAGAGAATCAGTGAGAAGCATAAATCATTATTTCCATGTTTAAGCATTAATTATTGAAATGAACTGAATAGCGTTTAGAAGATAAAATGCCTGTGTTCATGAGAAGCTGAGTACAGCCCTGGAGAGGGACAGTAGGCGGAAGGAAACACATGATTTTTGTGAAAACGGGGGGCAAATGTGAGAGTTATAAATGGCTAATTTGTTTTTGATGTCTTTTGTTAAAATGAGTGGTTTTAATAATTTTCAGACACACCTTGCAAATGTGCTTATGAGTTGGCACATTTGTGATTGACATGACATTGACCAATCAGATGAAAGGAAGAAAAATAGGGTCAAAAAATCAGTACTTGTAACTTGCAGGGTTTTTTTTTTTCTAAGTCCACACACAAATCTTTTTTACACATACAAATCTTTTTTACGCACACACAAATCTTTTTTACGCACACACAAATCTTTTTTACACATACACATCTTTTTTACGCACACACAAATTCTTTTTACACATACAAATCTTTTTTACGCACACACAAATTCTTTTTACACATACAAATCTTTTTTACGCACACACAAATTCTTTTTACACATACAAATCTTTTTTACGCACACACAAATCTTTTTTACACATACAAATCTTTTTTACAAGTACAAAATATTTATGACCACATTTTGAGCCCATACCATTGAGTCTCACTGGGACTACCTGTATGAATAAAGCTTAAATAACAAAATAAAACAAATCTATACACACAAAAAATTGAGAGGAGTATTTGATTATTTGATTAATTAACATCAAACTTTCATGTAATGTGTTTTTTATCCTGGAACTTCAGCTGTTATGATATCTCTCCCCATTAACATGATGATATTATAATAGCGCAGTTAAAATTAAATGGATAAACAAAAACAGCAGCTTTATTGAAAATGCAAAGCTTCAGTTTGCTGAAACTTAAAATCAGTAAAGTCTGAAAAGGTTCAATGGTCTAATAAAAAACTTCATCCACACACAATCAATGTGGTTCTACAATCAACTACAATCCTCAGCGATGATTTCATGATTCAGTTTACATTCATTTGAACATAAAAAATGTAAATATAATTATAAATGTTTGTCTACAAACTGGGAGCAAAATCTGTGTAATTGGCCATGTGCTGATTTTTCAATATCCCTGAAAGATTTTGGGCACAGTGAAGTTTACATTTTCATATGTAGCAACATCAGTTCAGCTGAATATATAAATCATCACAATCAAGATTGCCTCTGTTGCTAAACAGACACAAGGAGGCGTGCCACGCAAACCAGAGTTAATTATTGAATAGTAAACAAAACTGGAAACTAAAACACATATTTTAACCTACTTTTCCTCCATTTCTTTCTTCTTTTTTTTTCTATTTCAGTTTAATCAACTCTGCAGAGTCTCCATCAGAGTAGAAAAGGCAAAGTCCAGCATAGAGCGGCTGAGTGAATGTGGTCTGGACTCTGTGGAGGAGAGTCATTGTTTCAGAGACGCTGTAGAAAGACAGAATACCTGCTCTGTGATCCAGGTACACTCCTACTCTGGAGGACCGAGGACCTGAGAGATCAGTTTGGACTTTGTTGTAGTAAAATCTATAACTGTTTTTATCACAACACAGTGCCCAAGATTTGTCATTTGCACCAAATCCACTGGAGCTTCCTGCTCTGCTGATATTCTTGTATGTGACTGCTACATAGACTCCCCCTCTCCACTCCACCTCCCAGTAACAACGTCTAGTCAGACATGTCCTACTCAGGACTTGAAACCATACAGTGAATCTGTTTTGATGAGCAGAGCAAGATTGTTCTTCTTCTATTCTTGTTGCTTTTCTGTTCCCTTCAGATAATAGCAGATTTGTATTTGCTGTGTTTGGATCTAGTGTGATATTTTCAGAATATTTTAAGAATCCAGCTCTCGTCTTTGGCTCTGTTGGTGACAGTAAAACATCCACTTCAGTGACTGTCAGTGAGATGTTTGTCCATTCCTCTCTCAGAATGTCCTGTAGTTTATCTCTGGTCTCTGACACAGCTGCTGTCACATCCTCAAAGTACCTCAGAGGATGAATATTGATGCTGGACGAGTGTGTAGACTCACTGAGTGCTGACAGTGAGGGGTAGTTGTGTATAAAGTGGTTGTGATCCTCTGTGTGTGAGAGCTGCTCCAGCTCGCCGTCTTTCCTCTTCAGCTCAGCGATCTCCTGCTCCAGCTTCTCCTGAAGCTCTTTGACTCGGCTCACTTCAGTTTCCTGCTGGGATCTGACCTGCTGCTTCACATCAGAGCTTCTTTTCTGGATGAGACGGATCAGCTCAGTGAACATCTTCTCACTGTCCTCCACTGCTTTATCAGCAGAGCCATTGATGGCCTCCACCTCCTGTTGAAGCAGCTTCACATCTTTCTCCCCCTCCTGGATTCTCTGCTGGATGTTTAGTCGTCTCACCTCGAGCTCCTTCTGCTTCTCAGTCCTTTCTGCTGCAGCTGGGACTGTTTCATGGCCTTTATGTTCATCCATTGTGCAGAGATAACAGATACTCTGCTGATCAGTACGACAGAAAATCTTCATCACCTCATCATGACGAGAGCAGATGTTCTCCTGGAGCTTCACGGAAGTTTTAACAAGTGTATGCTTTTTAAAAGCTTGAGATTCATAGTGAGGTTGGAGGTGTTTCTCACAGTAAGAGGCCAGACAGACTAAACAGGACTTGATGGCTTTCAGCTTCCTCCCAGTGCAGACATCACAGGCCACATCTTCAGGTCCAGCATAGCAGTGATCAGCTGGAGCAGCTTGGAGTCCAGTCTTCTTCAGCTGCTCCACTAAAGCTGCAAACATGATGTTTTTCTCCAGAACAGGCCTCGGTATGAAAGTCTTCCTGCACTGAGGGCAGCTGTGGATTCCCTTCCTGTCCTCTTCATCCCAGAAACTTTTAATACAGTTCCTGCAGTAGCTGTGTCCACAGGCTGTAGTCACCGGATCTTTCAGTAGATCCAAACAGATGGAACAAGAAATTGTTTCTCGGTCGAGCTGAACTCCTTTCTGCGCCATTTCTCCTCTCAGTTTCTCTTTGGCAGAAACGAAAGCATTCTGACCTCTGATCTCATAACACACTTTTCTGTAGTGAATGGAGCCTGTCGGTTCTGAAACGTTACAACATGTTTGTTATACCCATCTTCAAACTGCATATCTAAAGGGGAGGGAACAAGGAAATACATTTACAGTGTTTCAGGAAGAAGAGGGAGGAGTTATCAGGCTTTGACACATTCCAGGAAGTGGAGCAGTTTGACGTAGACACTGTTTGTTTAACCCTTTCACAACGGAAAAAAGAGGCTGATCAGTTTTTACATTACATTATGTATAAATGACAAGTATATAAAAATCTGTCACAGCATTGTACATATTATACCCTGAATTTTTTCTTGACCCACATATGTCACTGTTAATGTTTTTCATTTCAAAAATGTTCACATTCAGACACAAAAATCATTAAAATATTACAGTTATGAATCTTTCCAAATATAACACTTTCTGGCTTTCAGATTTCAGACACAGAGCCAGTCTCTGTATCTTTACTGTAAGTGTCACGGAAAAGAGGGACCCAGAAAACATAAACACAAGCAGGGTCGTCCGGAAAGAGCCGTCTGACCGTGACAGTAAGTATTTTTGTGTTTTACACCGTTGAATATCAAGTTAAATATGCTGCAAAATGTGAGAATTTGTAGAAATCTTGTTTTTTTTTTAATTTTCACTTAAAAATGTTCAATGTTTTGACATACTTGTTTTAAAATTACAGTTACAGAAAAAGATATTCACAAACAACCAATATTTTCACAGATATATTGAGAGCTGCAGACTTGCAATTCAAATTTTACTCTTATTTATTATTTTTACTACTTGGAACCACAACTCTGTGATTCCAGCCTCTCAGATCAGTGAATACAAGTGCTGGTGTCATGATCCGGGGTGTCGGTGGTGTTTTGGGGAATGTTTTCTTACTCTGTTCAAAGCTCAGGTCCTTCCTCCAGGTGAAGTTCTGGGTCTACATCTGCCTCTCTCCACATGCGGCTCATTGTCTGCAATCAGCATGGTAATTTTATGGAACACCTCAGAGCTCCACTATTTGCCAGATTGTCATCTAAACAGTAGTTTTAAATTACTTGCTTCATGATGTAGTCATGAAAAGGGTTTCACTTCACAGGTGGGCCTTGTCAGGGTTCATTTGTGGAATTTCATGCCTTTGAGACCATCAGTTGTGTTGTAAGAAGTCAGGTTATTACACAACTGACAACCCTATTTGAAACCTGTTCGAATTCATATTATGACAAGAACCAATCAGCTCAGCAAAGAGTAACGACAGTCCATCATTACTTTAAGAACTGAAGGTCAGTCAGTACAGAAAATTGCTAAAACTTTGTATGTGTCCCCAAGTGCAGTCACATAAACCATCAAGCACAATGTCCAAACACCCCAGGAAAGGAAGATCAAGAATCACCTCTGCTCCTGAGGATGAATTAATCTGAGTCACCAGCCTCAGAAATCACAAGTTAACAGCACCTCGGATTAGAGTCCAGATAAATGCCACACAGAATCATTTCTCACTCTGGAGCTTGCCTGGCCATCTACCTCCCCAGAACGGTTTCACCTCACCCATCAAGCAAGATCTCTTCACCTCAAACCTCGTATCATCCACCCAGTTACCTCTGGAAACCCTTCTAACCTTTCCCTCTTCCTCTGCCCGCAGTTACGACGCGCTCTTTAGGGGAAAATCAGCCCTGTGGAGCCACCAAATTACATGTAGCAGTCAAGAAATCCCTGGCTTGTGTAGTTACAAAGTTCCCTGTGTCTGCTGTAAAATAAAACACTTAAATGTATTATTGCTTTCTGTGTTTTCATCTGCTCTTGGGTCCATATTCTTACGCCAGCCTATGGGGCCCCTTGACAGTAAGGGCTATTTGACCAAGAAGGAGAGTGAGGGAATGCTGCCCCAGATGGCTTGGCCTCCACAGTCACCTGACCTAAACCCATTTGAGATCGTTTGGGATGAGATCGACCGCAGAATCAAGGCAGTTGGCTATTAGATATATGATATCTCCTCCCTGACCTGTCATCCTGGCTCTCCCTTGCCGTAGGATTTGTGTTGTACCTTGTCAATCTCTAGCCGTGAGAGCAATTCCTTTTTCCGAATGTTGGAACACTAAGATACTAGTTGTTTTGCTGTCAATCTCGATGCCGGGATTCCATAAGTGCGACATCCTCTTCTTCTGCTGGGGTTACTTGCTTAGTAGCATTCCAGCGCCCTCTTTTCATCTCTTGCCCACTTCTGCCTTCGTGTTCCAGTAGTCCACTTCCCATTAATGTGTCCTGGTTCCTCGACACCTGACACGGACCAATTTTGACAGTTTTGTGGGCTATTTTACTACTACTACTACTAATAATAATAATAATGGATTGCATTTATAGAGCTCTTTTCAATTTGGCAGTTCAACTTATTTTAAAGTCATAAAAATGTCGAGTAGGATTAATTGCTTCTTACTGTAAGGCTTGCATAAAAGCAAATAGTCCTGACCCTATGAGCTGGTTTGATTTTATTTTATCTAAAAACCTGACACTGCAACTAATTTGCTGGATAAAAGTCATCATGTTGGATTTAAAATTGCAACCCAATAACAGCACCAGTCAAAAGTTTAGACCGTTCTATTTAAAACATTAAATAATTGATTATTGCCTAAACCACTGGCGACAAAAGTGAGTACACTCCTAAGTGAAAATGTCCAAATTGTAACCAATTAGCCAGTTTCCCTTAATGGTGTCATGTGACTCCTTAGCGTTACAAGATCTCAGGTGCAAATGGGGAACAAGTGTGTTGAATTTGGTGATATTTGTCATGGCTACTGAACGGACTCACGCGCAGACAGTTCTTTCGCAGAGAACAAAAGGAGATTTATTCACAACAGGGATCACCTTAGTGCTATATATATGTACAGTGAGTTGGGAGGGGGGTCCAGGGAGAGAAGGGGGGGGGGGAATCCACACACAACTCTTCCACACAATCACCACCACAGCTCCTCCGCACACACGCACTCCTCTTTAGCCGCACTCGCTCCAAAACTCCACACACGCTGCCACACTTGGGCAGGTCCCGTGATTTGGTCCCGAAGAGGGATATCTACACACAGAAGTTAAGGTTAGTTCCACAGAAAAATACATACAAGGGATTCTTTTTGAAAATGCAGAGAGCACGAATTCAGGAGGTTCAACGTTCCAGCGGTGAGCTGCTCAGTGCCACTGCCTTAAATAGCAGCTGGGGAAATCAGCCAGATCAGCAGCAGGTGGAGACAATCACACAGGTGCGTGGGCCAAGAGTGAGAGCCCGTAACGAGCTCCACCCAGGCAGAGAGGAGGAGGAGAGACAAAGAAAACAAAAACGAACAACAACAACAAAACCTGTAGCCAGCGTGGGCCAACCAGAGAGACACGGGGACCGTGACAATATTGTTCTCAATCTCTCTCATGTTGGTCACTGGAAGTCTAACATGGCACATCATTGCAAAGACTGCTCTGAGGATCTGAAAAAAGAATTGTTACTCTACATAAAAATGGCTTAGGCTATAAGAATATTTCCAACACCCTGAAACTGAGCTGCAGCATGATGGGCAACACCATACAGCAGTTTAACAGGACAGGTTCCACTCAGAACAGGCCTCGCAATGAACGACAAAAGAAGTTGAGTGCACATGCTCAGCGTCATGTCCAGAAGTTATCTTTTGAAAATAGATGTATGAGTGCTGACAGCATTGCTGAAGATGTTGAAGGCGTGGAGGGTCAGCCTGTCACTGCTCATGCCATACGCCACAACACTGTATCAAATGGCTATCGTCCCAGAAGGAAGCCTCTTCTAAAGATAATGCGCAAGTAAACCCACAAACAGTTTTCTGAAGACAAGCAGACTAAGAGCATGGATTGTCTGTGGTCTGTTGAGACCAAGATAAACTTTTTTTTAGTTCAGATGGTGTCAAGAGTCTGTGGCGGAAACCAGGTGAGGAGTACAAAGACAAGTGTGTCTTGCCTACAGTCAAGCATGGTGGTGGGATATCATTGTTTGGGGCTTCATGAGTGCTGCTGGCACTGGGGGAGTACAATTAAGTGAGGTAACCATGAATGCCAACATGTACTGTGACATACTGAAGCAGAGCATGATCCCCTCCCTCCTCCAGAAACTGGGCCACAGGACAGTACTCCAACACAATAACAACTCCAAACACTCCCCCAAAAAAGCCAGTGACTTGCTAAAAAAACTGAGGGTAAAGGTACTTGACTGCCCAACCATGTCTCCAGACTTAAACCCTGCAGCGCATGTGTGGGGTATCCTCACATCAAAGGTGGAGGAACGAAAGGTGCAGTGATATTCAACTATCCTTTGAAGCGCCGCTCCTCTAAAACAGCAATAAAGATCATTATTAGGTTATTTACATTATTATGTCGCATTTTATTTGTAGTGTGAACGAGCAGACAAAAAAATCGGATTTGATCAAAAAATCGGAATTGAGCATTAAGACCTGCAGTGTGAACGTAGCCTTTCATCCATGATGTCATTATGGAGGAGTGGAAGAGGATTCCAGTGGCACTCTGTGAAGCTCTAGTGAACTCCATGCCCAACAGAGTTGCCAACGGTTTAGACATTAATGGCTGTATGTTGAGTTATTTTCAGGTGACAGCAAATTTACGCTGTTATACAAGCTGTAGACTGACTACTTTACATTGTATCAAACTGTCATATCTTCAGTGTTGTTCCATGAAAAGATATAATAAAATATCTACAAAATATGAGGTGTGTATTCACTTTTGTGAGATAGCGTATATTTATATGAGTTTGTTTTATTATTGGGACAATGTGTTATTTTTAATTATGTTTTTACTTCTGTTAGTTTCATGTTAAACCAAATGGATAATTATACCTACAGATGAAGCAGGATTAAACCTTGGGGGCCACAGCTCTTCTTAGGTTGGGGTCTCACACACACAAACATCCCCCTAATTTGTCCCAACTTGTCCTGGAAATCAAGCAGTCAGTCAGTTAAGAATGGGCCCTGTGAAAACTGGTAAGACTTTATACAGTGTGGCCCTTTTTATATGTGTCTTCACATGATGTCAGTCAGAACACATAACAATAAAACAAATACGCAGTCCAGTCATTTATTTATTTGGCCTGCGTGTTTACACAGCACAGTAATGAAGTGCACGGTACAGTCGTCGTTATATTTGAGTGTGCATGGGTCTGCTGTCAAAAAAAGGAAATAAACAACATAAAATAACATTTAGATTCATGTTACATAGTATGTAACTGAATAGAGAGCACTTTGTACAGTATTAAAATTAGAATTAGTTGACGTATGTCTGTGTTGAACCAAGTTACTTCTAAGTCTACAGACGTTACAGCATTTACATGGACAAATGAAATCAAACATTGCCATCTAGTGACTACACAGGTTAACAGCAATAAGAATGTGGTCTCAATTTTCACAGATGAAAGAAATGCTGCAAATGTTGGTTAACGGTAGATCCACAATGTCTACTGCCTAATAACAATAAAAGGAACAATACTAATGACACAGCATAAATGATAAAAAAAACAAACAAACATCAGCTTCATTTATCATGTGAAACCTCAGTATGTCTGAAAAATACAAAATAAAATGTTTACATTGTCATTGCTGCAAAAATCAATTTAGCTGAAAAAAATCCACATGACCAGTGGGAGATCTGATGCCATGTGAAAATAGCATCCATAAATTGTGATCTCTGTGTAGAAAAGGAAAAGGATAACAATAAGCTCTCAGCAACAATGATGGATGCCAAAAAAACTGGAGACTAAAATGTACATTTCACTTACTGTCCCTCAGTGACTTCAGTCTATTTGAGTTTAATCAATTCTGCAGTGTATCCAGCATGAAAAAGCAGAATTCCAGCATAGAGCGGCTGAGTGAATGTGGTCTGGACTCTGTGGAGGAGAGTCATGGTTTCAGAGACGCTGTAGAAAGACAGAATACCTGCTCTGTGATCCAGGTACACTCCTACTCTGGAGGACTGAGGACCTGAGAGGACAGTTTGGACTTTGTCATACAAAAATGTATAATTGTCTGTTTTGCAAGTTAATGCCCAAGATTTGTTATTGTAACCAAATGATGTCCGTGATCTGCTGACATTCTTATATGAGACTGCTATATCAACTTCCCCTCTCCACTCCACCTCCCAGTAACAACGTCCAGTCAGACTCTCTCTACTCAGGACCTGATACCATATAGTGAATCTGTCTGGATGATGAGAATAAGACTGTTCCTTTTTCACTGCTGTTGCTTTTCGATTCCTTTTAGATAATAAAAGCTGTCTGTGTGCTGTGTTTGGATCCAGTGTGATTTCATATGAATATTTTAAGAATCCAGCTCTGGTCTTTGGCTCTGTTGGTGACAGTAAAACATCCACTTCAGTGACTGTCAGTGAGATGTTTGTCCATTCCTCTCTCAGAATGTCCTGTAGTTTATCTCTGGTCTCTGACACAGCTGCTGTCACATCCTCAAAGTACCTCAGAGGACAAATATTGATGCTGGATGAGTGTGTAGACTCACTGAGTGCTGACAGTGAGGGGTAGTTGTGTAGAAAGTGGTTGTGATCCTCTGTGTGTGAGAGCTGCTCCAGCTCGCCGTCTTTCCTCTTCAGCTCAGCGATCTCCTGCTCCAGCTTCTCCTGAAGCTCTTTGACTCGACTCACTTCAGTTTCCTGCTGGGATCTGACCTGCTGCTTCACATCAGAGCTTCTTTTCTGGATGAGACGGATCAGCTCAGTGAACATCTTCTCACTGTCCTCCACTGCTTTATCAGCAGAGCCATTGATGGCCTCCACCTCCTGTTGAAGCAGCTTCACATCTTTCTCTCGCTCCTGGATTCTCTGCTGGATGTTTAGTCGTCTCACCTCGAGCTCCTTCTGCTTCTCAGTCCTTTCTGCTGCAGCTGGGACTGTTTCATGGCCTTTATGTTCATCCATTGTGCAGAGATAACAGATACTCTGCTGATCAGTACGACAGAAAATCTTCATCACCTCATCATGACGAGAGCAGATGTTCTCCTGGAGCTTCTTGGAGGGGGCCACCAGCTTGTGTTTCTTTAATGGAGCTGCATCATAGTGAGGTTGGAGGTGTTTCTCACAGTAAGAGGCCAGACAGACTAAACAGGACTTGATAGCTTTCAGCTTCCTCCCAGTGCAAACATCACAGGCCACATCTTCAGGTCCAGCATAGCAGTGATCAGCTGGAGCAGCTTGGAGTCCAGTCTTCTTCAGCTGCTCCACTAAATCTGCTAATATGGTGTTTTTCTCCAGGACAGGCCTCGGTGTGAAAGTCTTCCTGCACTGAGGGCAGCTGTGGATTCCCTTCCTGTCCTCTTCATCCCAGAAACTTTTAATACAGTTCCTGCAGTAGCTGTGTCCACAGGCTGTAGTCACCGGATCCTTCAGTAGATCCAAACAGATGGAACAAGAGAAGGTTTCTCGGTCGAGCTGAACTCCTTTCTGTGCCATTTCTCCTTTCAGTGTCAGTGACTGTGTGAGTTTCTCTTCCTTATAAATGAAACTAGTCTGAGCTCTGATCTCAACAACATGTGTTTCTGCAGTCAGCTCATACACGTCACTACATGTTGGTTACACCCATCTTCAAAGTGCATATCTGAAGGGGAAGGAACGAGGAAATATGTGGAGAGTGGATTTTTTTCAGAAAGAAGGAGGAGGAATTACCACTCTTTTTTTTTTTTTTTTTACAGGAGGAGGTGTGGTTTTGGTGCATTAGAAATTAAGACAGAATTTACCAGTTCCCAGTCAGAATTTTCACACTCCAGTTATCAGAGCAGCCTTATAAAGCCAGAGTTAACAATCCAAGATGGCGGAAGTGAACACAAAATTACAAAACCGGCCACCGTTGTTTATTTTTGATTTTTTTTAAATAAAAACAATGAGCTGGATGTAAGCTGTGTTGAAACTACAATGTACAAAAGGCAGACTAAAGCATGTGTAACAGGGTCATAAATCACATCTTGTTATAATTACACAAAATGTGTTCTAAACCCCCAAACCGTTCCTTTTATACCTGACTTTTAGGACCTCCAAGCCTGTAGTTATGTTCATTATCAGTTAGAGCCCCTCCTCATTCTTTTCTTCTTCTTCTTTGGTGCAATCCTATAAATACAATACTTTTGCCTCTCCCCTTTTCTACAATTCCCCTGTGGGAGAGGTGGGTGTCATTTCTTTCCAACACCTTAAAACACACATATAATTCATATTTAGCCACCCTGATGTTTCTGATTGCAATGTTAGTTCAATTATTGTCATTATTAAGCCTGTGTTTGTTAGATGTTATAAGCGTGTAGTATGTGTGTATCATAAATGTGTTTTAGGCGCCATAAATGCTAGCATGAATATATATTCCTTGCTAGTTTGGAAGTTGTGGTGGGTTGAACTAACCCTCTTCCCCACTGTTTGTATTTGGTCGTAGGAGCTGGAGTGGGCAAATTATTTACTTGGAGGTCTTTCTTTCTTTTACCTTTTTTATCAGGTATGTCAGATTTCATGTTGTTGTTTTTGTTTTATCTTATGTTAAATGTGTTACGTGTAAATGCATATTTTATGTTTAATGTAAAAATAAATGCCTGCCCTTTTCTACAATTCCCCTGTGGGAGAGGAGCTGGAGTGGGCAAATTATTTACTTGGAGGTCTTTCTTTCTTTTACCTTTTTTATGAGACACAACGCAGAATCACACCGGTCACACATGCATATTATTATCCCTGAGGTAGGAATATAAAAACAAAACAAGGCTGTGATCAACTGACCTGCTGCTCTTTGAATTTACACAACTGAGTTCAACCAGATGTCAGCAGATGTTTCATTAGTTTAATTGATTTCCATCCTCTATACTGACAGTAAACTGTTCATGCTGTCTTTATATTAGACACTATTTAGCTGGTATGAATGTGGAATTTAGTGTATGAATCTAAGCATCATCAGCTTAACTTCAAATTCATCTCTGTTACATTTGATGTAAACTAACTGTGGGCATGAAACCATGTGCACCAGTCACACACTGTTCTTTACTTTAAATCCATCACAGTGCAGTAAACTAGCCTGGTTTTCCTGCACTAACCTGCAGCCTTTAAATAGCACAGTTAGTCTGCCTCAGTTTGTTTAGCAGCATGCTTCACAATATGAAAAAAACATATTGTCATATGTACAGAACCAATATGTGATTTTAAAACATGAGGACTGACATGTGAGCTTTATAATCAGTGGTTCTGGTGTTTGGCCAAAAAAACAAAAAAAGGACACACTTTAAGCCCTGACTATGACACGTAGTTTTTTCACTTTTATCTCTTTTTATGTGATATTCCTGGTGATCATTACACCAACAGGACTGAATTTCATGCGTTACTGTTTAACCTCAAAGCGGTTTGATTTGAGGCTTGCAGTGACAAAATAATAACTCCTCTCAAATGTGTTAAACCTAAAGTAACGAGTCTGTTTTGAAAATGTAAGAAGTAGAAAGTAAAAAGTTGTGAGAAAAATAAATACTTAAGTAAAATAAAGATACCTGGAAATTCTACTTAAGTACAGTAATGAAGTATTTAAGTGTGCCTATGCCAAGAGGCACACTTATTACTATTCCTCGGATTTATTCTTCTTATTGTGTGGATGCTTTAAGACATCCACACTATTGAGTTCCTGTTTATCTTTATTGTGTGGATGCCTCAAATTCTGCTCTTTCTGCTCTTTTCTGCTATGACTTTTGGTGCTCCGCACTTCTATTCAGATGGAAGATGGCGCCAGCAGTATGCACGGCAACACGTCTGTCAACTCTGCTAGCTTTACTTTGGCTTTCGCTAGCCTTATCCTTTTCTATTTTATCCCAAAATGCGCTCGCTCTGCATGTGTACAATCACCAGTTACTCTTAGAAATCAAAGCATCGTATGACCTGGCTCTTAAGCAAACTGAGACAGGAGATGATTATGGGCCTCCTCCACCACTTTTTGAGCCCTGTATCCCGGTTTATCTGTGCCAACACTCCTACATCACTTCCTGGACGAAGCGCCCGAGGAAATGAGGAAAGCGGGCTGGTACACTAATCAAAGTCCGAGCTCTTCTCCGTGCTTCTCGTGGAACTACTGGACCAGCAGAGTGCATCTTTAGATGGATCCTGCCTGTTGTCCCTGGAGCTCCCACGACACTTGATCCCGCGCTCTCAGCATTCTATTTCCCTAAGCGGCCTCGGACCCGTGGATGCGGCGTGGACCACGGAAATCTTCACACACTTAACCGAGCTGGACCATCTGATGTTAGGATCTACAAACTCCAAATGGCTCTGCTAAATGTAAGATCATTAGCAAACAAGACGTTTGTATTAAACGACTTGCTAAAGTCACAACAGTTGGAATTTCTGTTTCTGACAGAAACATGGCTTCAACCCGGTGAGTCTGTAGCTTTTTCGGAACTGGTTCCTCTTGATTGCTCATTTTTCAGTCTCCCTCGGTCCTCTGGTAGGGGGGAGGCTTAGCCACCGTGTTCAACGCTCAATTTTATTGCCATCAAACATTACAGCACGACTCATTTTCTAGTTTTGAACTCCAGCTGTTTGAGTTACACCTGAATTCTGCTGCGCCTTTGCTGTGTGTCCTCATATACCGCCCTCCCAAGTTTAACAAGGATTTTATCAAAGAGTTTTCAGGTTTTATGGCTGGAATCGTTCTTAAATTTGACAGTTTTTTAATCCTTGGTGATTTTAACATCCATGTCTGCTGTGACCCTAAACTTTTGGTCAAGGACTTTTTAAATATTATTGACTCTTTTAACTTGACCCAGTGGGTTACCGGTCCCACGCATGAAAAAGGTCACACACTGGACTTGGTGCTCTCCCACGGGTTGGATGTGTGCATCACGGAAATATCCGAGTTGCGCATCTCCGATCATCTTCATGTGTTGTTCACTCTAACGCTGCGCTGCTCGGTGGATAAGCCGTACGTCCCAGCGCGCAAAAAGCGAGCGCTTAACCCTTTAGAGCCGATCGGAGCGGACACGCTCTGTTTTGCGTAACTATTTTTAAATCCCAGTAGCACTGCAACCACGTAAGCTAGCGCAAACATTTTTTTGCATATAAAATCGGAGGAGTTGTACTTACATCTTATGCCATCAACTTGTCCTAGGTCACGGTTTCCTTCCACATAAAGCTTTGCAAAAACTGCATAAAAAGCGCTTGCAGGAACAAAAACATAATATTCCAGAAACACGCTTTGCCAATCCGATCAGCTGTTCATAACACTTCCTACCTTGGAATAGACGACAGCGCGAACTTTTGCATGTCCGCCATTACCTGCCCGAAACCGGAAGTGATGTCATTTTCGCGGAAATGTAGTCTTTTTTACCATCAGGGCCTCAGGGCCTATACTGGTCTTTTTAAAAGTCATCTTTGACTTTATGCCTTTCTGTGTCGTTTCTGGGATGCTTAGGACTCATATTGCACTGCTGGAAATATTTTATTTTGATGCATATGCTGCTTTTTTGCAAATTTGCAGTATAATATTTATTTTCGTTTTTCCTGCAGTGTATAAAAATTGGTGTATTTCAAAAATAAAACTATGAAGACACTCAAAATAAATTTCCTGTGGTGGGAAACTATTTTGTGCAACTTTTTTGTATTTACAGTGTTGAGAGATAAGCCTCTTAAATTTATCTAACTACAAATATATGTTAAAAAAGCAAAAACGATTTTCAATTCTTTTGTAGTTTATTGCACTTTTTTGCAATTTATGTAATTACTATGCACTTAATGAATACATATTATTAAAATCTGGGCTATAATGGTTGTATTGATGTATAACAACTTGAAATGCTCCCAAAAATGGCTCCACAGCATGTAAAAATATAATATAAGCTCTGGCGGACTATATTCTATGGTAGGTCTTAAAGGGTTAATGCACTAACAGCGCCGGCTTTTTCTGCTGCCTGGACTCTGGAATAATGAACTCTAACTGTAAAAGTGTTGAGGACCTTTCGGACATTCTTCATTCTACCTGCACTGATATCTTGGACTCTATTGCTCCGCTCAGGACTGTGCGCGCTAAGCATTTATCAGAGCCCTGGTTAAACGAACATACGTGCTCCCTCAGAAGTGACTACAGACGCGCTGAAAGAAAATGGAAAAAGGACAGATTGCATGTTTCCCTACAGATTTTAAGGACTCGTCTTTCTGCTCACCAAGAAGCTGTAAAAACTGCAAAGACAAAGTTTGTCTCAAACTTAGTGTCAGTAAACAGTCACAGGTCTCAGGTACGTTTTAATGTTCTTAATCGCTTTCTTAGTTCACGTGATAATTCTGGAGTCACTTCTTCACCAAGTATGTGCGATGATTTTTTAGCATTTTTTAATGACAAGATCCTATCGATTAGGGCCCTTGTCTCGTTGTCTACTGCCTCAGATCAGAGTCCTTTTCCTGTGTGCTCAGCTGTCTTAGAGCAGTTTGATCCCGTCTCCCTTAAGGACTTGACCGCGGTAGTTAGTAACCTAAGATCATCACACTGC